ATGAGCCCTCTTGAATGGAAGGGGACAACATCCCCTTCCACCTCTCCCTGCCCTCAACAGCCACAGCATCTTGTCCTAGTGGCTCCTCCAGTTGCTGCCTGCCCAGCTCATGAGATAAATGCTTCAAGGCTCGTTTGGCCCTGCAGCAGGAAGAGGAAGAGCGCCAGCATCTCTGTCCCCTGTCTGCATGTACTGCAAATGAAGGGATTAGGAGTTATAATCCAAGAGTCTTATTTTAAAGCAGCTTTTCGGCTCTGTGAGGGGAACTTCAGTGTGATGCTCCTAGGGGAGGCGGGTGACAGGGACAGCAGCTGTCACAGCCCCAGCCACTGAGGGTGCCAAGCCAGCAGCAGCCGAGGCTCAGCCTCTATGCTCCATAGGGTGACACTTATCTGGGAGCAACTGTATGTGTGCAGGGAGGCTTCTGACCTGCACCACAGGCAGTGTCTGCCCCGAGAGGCACTGTGATCGTTCCTCCTCTGTGCTTTTTCCCCCGGCCCCTTCCTCCCATTGTTTTCATGGCAAACCTGTGCATAATGTTAACAAACTGCTTGGGTTTTTTCACTGGCACCTCTGCCACCTTTCCCTCTGCTAGTTATTATGGCAGTGCCACTTCTAGGGCAAGTCGACAGATGGCTGGGGTTTTATCTTTGGACTAGCTATTTAATAAGGGCTCCTGCTTTTCCCTTGCACATTTCTTTCCTGGCCACATGTTCGGAGCTGCTGGATGGGTTGTCCTTTTCACTGGCAATGCCAGAAGATGAAAGCTGCGGTCAAATCCCAGGGGACGAGGGTTTTCTTCCCCTTTAGAAAGGGAGGATAATTCTGCCCAGGTCGTGTGGGCCTTACTGAGCAATGCTCTGCCTCCCTGCCAAAAGAGGCAACAGCAGACCAGTCCCCACAAGGAGGTCAGAAGGGCTGTGCTAAAGGCTGGGTCCTACAGGGCAGATCCTAAGTGCACAGAAAGCTGTTGTAGGTGCTGCAACCAGCCTGCTCACACCAGCAGAAACCTGGATCACAAGGACCGACCTGTGCTGTGGTTTATGCTGCCATCAGCTTTGCCGTGGCTAACTGGGTGCAAAGGATATATTCCTTCTGTAGGTCATGTGAAAACAGGGAAAGTTAATGGTGTCAGGGGTTGCCCAGCCAGTAAGTGAGGCTGTCTTGGATGTGCCATGGAGCTGCATGTGACATTTGCTGATGCTGACTGGTGACTGCTGGTTTACCCGGGTCATTGTGCATGAAAGGCACATGGCTGAAGGCTGAGACTAAACCTGAGGTTTGTTTCAGAGAGATAAAGCTGAGATTTCTCCCCACTGTTGCTGTCTCCCAGGCTCTGAAGGGGCTGTACGAGAACCCAGACTCTTCTGGACCTGCTCCATGAGCATGGGGGAAGCTTTCCTTCACATCAGAATGAAAACCAGGGAAACAGGAGGAGGCTTTGGGCACCAGATGCTTGGTGGCAATGCCTCATGGAGGCACCAGCAGCAGACACCAGGCCCTGGTATGGCCAGGCTCACTTCAGTGACTATTCCCCCTGGATTTAGCAGGCTTTCTCTGTACCTGTTTATCCCAAAGAGTTTTCAAAGCCAAGTGTCCTGGGGACTTGGTAGCGTTCACACAGAGCTGTTTGGCAATGCCTGCCCTGGTGAGAGGGTTTGGGCTCCCCAGCCAGCAGGGCTATAGCACTATTCGCTGTTTTATTTCCCCCTACCTCCATTTCCCTTCCCATGGAAGCTGAAGAGGACTTTGGCAGCTTTTCTTGCCTGTCACTTGTACAGTTGCAGTGGTTGTAACATCAGCTGTCCTAGGTTGCTCCATTCCTGCCAGGGCTGCTTGTCCTGGCAAGGCAAAGTCCTGCTCATAGCATCCCAGGAGGGCTGGTGTCCAGCTAGCTGCTCTCAGAGCCTGGCTGGCAGCCCCCCACACTGTGCCTGCCTGTGCCAGGCTTAGCTGTTCTGGGCTTGGTCAGAGCCAGCAGAGATGAACATTCAGAGTATATGGATTTGTGTTTTCCTACAGGGAACATGGAATCACAGAATCACAGAACGGTTTGGGTTGGAAAGGATCTCGAGATGATGAGCTGAAATGTACTGAAATGTTAGACTTTCCAAAATGGGAGGGAATAGGAATGGACATGGAAAGCATCAGGATGGACGTATTTCACTTGAAGTGGTTTTTGCTGCTACAGTCTTGGACTTACAGTCATAGAACAGTAAAGAACTTCTTCCTTATATGTAACCTGAACTTCCCCTGTTTAACTTTTAACACATTACCTCTTGTCCTATCACTACAGTCCCTAATGCAGAGTCCCACCCCAGCATCCCTATAGGCCCCCTTCAGATACTGGAAGGCTGCTATGAGGTCTCCACGCAGCCTTCTCTTCTCCAGGCTGAACAGCTCCAACTTTCTCCTGTACAGGAAGATCCTTCCCTCTCCCATTCCCTGGGGTTTTTTTGTAAACTGACTTGCTGTCACTTGGGACACCCTACTCTTCATGAGGAGGAAAGCTCAGGAAGACAGGATTCTTGTTTCCAAGAAGTCATTAGTGACTGTACCACGCTGTCAGACCCCAAGGCTGGAGCATGGGCATTGCATAAAATAAGATCCTACATGCTTCAGAACAATCCCAGGCCATGGATTGTATGGATTAAGGCAGAAAATACAGCTGCTCAGCCTGTTTTTAACCTCAGTTGTACTCATTAGCTGCAGGAAAGACTCCAATACCGGCCAAGTGTGACAGAGCTCCTAATCTGGTTAAATCCCACAGCCCTACTCACCTGCCATCCTCATCCTTGAGGCACCTGATTTTCAGCCACCTTTCTTAGGTCAGGCAGGAGTACGTGCATGATTCCAGGTTGCTGGACTCAGGATCTGGCATCAACCTTACAGAAAGGCACCCAGCAGCTGGTAACAACAGGAAACCTGGATGCGTGGGGAATGGGGGGGCTGTGATGAGCTGTGCCCCAGGCACCCCCGAGGCACCAGCATGATCCTTCCAGAGTACTCCAGGTGAGGTGGAAGGAGGAGCCCACTGACAGCAAAGCACTTGTGGGATGTGCTTGATTTAAAGTCCATCTTTAAAGCTGCAGAGAAAAACTGCATCTCAAAATTGTCAGTGGAAGACAGTGGCATACTTTGATCAAGTCTGAATGCACTGTGTGTTATGTTATTGCACACTATGTGTACTGTATTCATATAACAGTGTAGAGATGCAGTATGACAGCTGTAGGATATGTTTTTTGGATTGTAATCTCTGTACCAGCACTACCTGTATGTATCTACATAGTATCCGTCCCAAAAGGACCTGCAGCCTTCAGCTTAGTGATAATACCTGCACATAGGAGCAAGTTAGGAGTATTTCACATGTAGACAATCTGGTTTTATTGCTTTCATCTTTACAGCCAGGTGTGTGATCTAAACATCAGGCAGAAACTTCTCCAATAATATCCCGTTTCAAAACATCTTAGAAAATGACTGTTTGGGATTGGGCTCATTTATAATAAATCCGTGGCACACAAAAACATAAACGGGAACCTCTGAATCCTTGGGAAATTGCCTATCTGTGTCTCAGAGCGATTTCTGTTCTGTGAAGTGTTTCGCTATGGGCCTGGGGACCTACGGGATTCATTGAAGCCAGCAAAGAATTTGCAAGCTGTAGACAGGGGTTTTTTAGCAGGTGCAATCTGAACCCAGCATCTATTCGACTCAGCTGCAAAGTAGGTTGCCTTCCCCCATCCACTGCAAAGGAGAGCTCGCTTTGTGTGCACATGTTCATCTCTGATCATCTCTCTCATCCCTGTGCAGAACTTCACAAAGGTCAGTTTCATTAACCTTGGGGTTATGCTTTGTGTAAATATGCATGTGTACCTGATTTGCACGGGAAATGTCATTTTCCTTACGTGCCTCCCATCCAACCGTTAACCCAGCCTGAGCCTATGTATCCTGTGAGATGTGCTGCGATGGTAGCTGCAGCCAGCACAGCTGTCCTGCTCATGCAGTGCACGGCTGCATATGCCCAGTACTTTTGCACAGCACATTCAGCTGTGTGAATATAGAGGTGCCTACACATTATCATCCACACAGAACCACACGCTGGCAGATGGTGTGTGCATTAACACGCAGTATGTGCCGATGTCTCTGGGTGCATGAGTTTCTCTGTGGCCAGCTGGCGCCCAGCACACACATTGGCTTGTGAAGCTGCTCTCCTTGCTGCACCATCATGCGCCTCGCATGGGTGTGCGAGCTGCCTTCCCCAGCAGTGCACGGCTACACACAGGGTCTGGAGCTGGATCTGCAGTGTGCCAGCAAGATGGAAAGAAAGGAGCTGCAGCACAGAATGGCTTTGCCTTCCCCCCCTCACTGTTTTCCTCTCTGCCTCACTGCAGGGGTGAATTATACATTGAGTTGCTGTACCTTGGACAAGATTCTTTCTTTCTGGTTTCCTCTGGATCTGATCCTCAGAGAGGCTGAGCACTGAACTAGCTCCTGCTGTGTTCCATGAAGTACCAGCAGTAGCTGCAGCAGGCTGCCCCTGGGGCCAGCAGGGAGCCACGGTGCTTAGCACTCCTTGGGAGTGCACCCTTGGTGTGTCATGTCATAGAATCATAAAATGGTTCCAGTTGGAAAAGACCTTCGAAGGTCATCCGGTCCACCCCCCCTGCAATGAGCAGGGACATCTTCAACTAGATCAGGTTGCTCAGAACCACATCCAGCCTGGCACTGAATGTCTCCAGGGGCAGCGCATCCGACACCTCTCTGGGCAACCTGTGCCAGTATTTTACCACCCTCATTGTAAAGAATTTCCTCCTCAAATCCAGCCTGAATCTTCACTCTTTGAGCTTAAAACCATCACCCCTTTTCCTGTTGCAGCAGGGCCTGCTATGAAGTCTCTCCCCATCCTTCTCATAAGCCCTTTTTAAGCACTGAAAGTCTGCCTGTGCACACCACTGGAGGCCAGGGAGAGGGGACAGGGGACTGAGGCAAAGAAGACATTAGCGCACAAGTGACATATCTCAATATAATTTCTAAAATTCTATTAATTGAACAGATAAAATACCTCTGATCTATTTTTGTTAGTTTTGTTACAAAATATTAGCCATTTGGACTCTTTGCTAGGTGTGACCACACCACTTTTCCCAAAGGAAGCTTTTCTTGGTGATATTTACAGCAGGGAACAGGTACAGATAGACAGGTGTGTTCAAAAGCCTACACACAGGTAACACTTCTGCTGTTAGTTGTTAAAAAGACACATTCAGATGGGGTTGTGACTAGTGTTGAAGAGTGGGTGACTTCAAAGCTGCTGTCCCAGGCATAGCTGTGCCAAAGCAAGCAGGACGAGGACAGCTCTAGCTCACAAAACACTGCCGGCAGTCCCTGGAGCCTGCACTAGCACAGTGAGGCAGCTGGTGGAGTGGGAGATGGGGGAGCTTGCTCAGCAACTTGCATTTCAAAGCAGAGACTCTGCCAAGCAGCAGCTTCCTTGGTCTAGGGCTCAGATTTGTTTTGGAAACCTCACAAACATATGCAGATCGTTGCAGGTTGAGCCTTCTAAGAAACACATAACAGAACTCAAACTCACAGCTCAGCAGCCCTCAAACACTTCCAAGTCTGCTGGTACCCTTTTGTGAAGAAGTTTAAGTATTGATGAAATTCTGGTTGTGGACCATATCCACACCTTTCATCTACAGGGAGGAGAGAAAAGGTGAACAGTGGGATGCTTTGAAGGTCTTGCCAAAAGCACCAAGTGTTGCTACCACGGTGGCCCAGACTATGGCATTAAAAGTGTTACAGCAGTGGACAAAAACTGTGTTAAACCCAAATTGTTTGAACTAAGCCTGATTCTCCTGCCACAGTTTCTCCAGCCCTTTACTATTGGTGTAAACAGATTAATTTCACTGGCACCAGCAAGACAGTCTCAGGACAGAGCCTGATGGGCTGCATAACACAGCTTTGTAGATCTCACCGTGCTCTCTCCTACCCTCCTGCAGAGTCAACTTCTTTGGCCCACTGACTACTCAACACTCACTGCAGAATACAGAATACTTCCTACTAGGCTTCTCTTTTCTCTCTCCCCCTTCCTCTCTTCTTTTAATATAGAAGGATGTGAATCCAACAGCAAAGACACTGGTTATTAGGGTTGATTTAATCTCTGCAGCAGCTTCCTGCCTGATCCCTCCACCTGAAAGATTGTGTTAGGTTCATGAGCAGAATCGCTGCTGTCAAGGGCTGGTGATTTTTCTTTGGACTGGTCCCTCCAGGCGAGCTGTGGTACACATTTTATCCTTCATTAGGTTGTCACTGACGTACTTCTTCTAGCCTGCACCCTGCACCCTGTCAAGGATCAGCCTGCGTGCAAGGGTGCCTATACACCATACTACAGCTACATTCAGCCTGCGTGTCTCGCTTACGTGGTGGAGGGCTATGGGAGCAGACAGTACAATAGATCAGATGAGGTGTAGACATGCTTTAAAGTGCTTGTCATCCTTCGAGACCAACCTTCAAAGGAAAAGAAAATATCCATACTTAGAAGTGAAGTCCGAAGGGCTCAGCTACACAGTAGAATTTAGAGCAACCTGTTGCACGACAACCTGGAATAGAGTAGATTGGTGTCTCTCTAGCTGAACCCAACAGAAGACGTTGTAGCCAGCAGGCTAGAAGACAGCAAGTGTTATCTACATTTGTTTCTCTGTCCAAAGCTCAAGGCCAGCATTAGCCTTTGCAAGGTCAGGGAAATGGAGCCAGCTTGCCCTGAGAGACTGCTGTGCCTCAGGTACCTTGGCACTTCATTTAACTCGCTTCCACCCTTCATCCAACACATAGAAGGGAGTCTCATGGAAGCTTCCTTATTTCTCCCTGAAATTCTTGCAGCTCTCCCAATCAATTATTAAAGCAGCAAACCTCTCTTGTAGGAACTTCATAGGCATTGTTATAAATATTTCATCTAAAAAAATTATTTCATCAAGTACCTTCAGGTTCTGTTGTTGTCACTTTGTGTTAAACGTCAAGTAAAATCTAATTTATTTATTTTAACACACGCACACAGACATTCAGTGGCTCGCTGCACTCTTGGAAAAAACAAACAAACAAGGACTGCCATTCCTCTCAGGCAGTGAAGTAACCACCGAGAAGGGAGGGCAGTGCCAGCCATAGAAAGAAAGTGTCATAATGCTGCCTTATTATAAATCTCCTCCTGGATACCTGCCCTTCCACTGCAGCAGTGAGCAAAATAAAACGGCAGCTATACACTACATTGACTGGACAACGGCAGATGCCACACGTATGACTTCCCAGGAAGCTTTGGGCAGGTCGGATGACATCCGGGCTGTGTGATGAGACTGTGCGTCACCCTGGAGGGAGCCAGCAGCAGATCATGCCAGCTGTGCCTCACATCTGGCTGGAGTGCAGGGCTGAGCCCTGGCTGGGGTGAGGACCTCTCCCTGGGCCCAGATGTGGGATGCGGAGCATCCTCACTGCCCTGAGGGGCTGGATAAAAGAAAGCTGCTCTGGTCTGGAAGGAGACTGGACTTTTGTTCAGGCTTTTATCACATTTTTGTCTGTCTTTTGCTTCTGCAGTGGTCCCCGGGGCTGTGCCTGTTCGTTTTCAGTTTATTTGCTATTGCTTATAAAAGCAGTAGCCTGGTGCCCTGCTCCACACAGCTAAGAAAACAACTTAGACCTGCTGGCACACCTGGGTCAGGCTCAGAAATAAGGGGACCTGGAAGAGAGCAGGCTCCTGCACTGCCCTGGAGAGCTGCCCAAGCACAGAGGACCCTTCACCCCAGCCTCTGCCCACTTCCCTAACCCCAGCTGGGATTATGTCCAGGTTAAATATATGAGCTCTTTCATCTAACATTTCAGCAGGGCCAGCAGACATCCAAAGGGCACTGAGGGGAGCCAGTCCCTGAAGCACTGTGAGTTTTGTCACTGGCAATAGCACCAGAGGTGAGCATACTAATGCAATCCCTACGGAAATCGCTTTGTGGATTTTACCCTGCAAGGTAACAAAGAGTTTCCTGCATCTGTCTTCACTGTTACCCTTTCCTGACATTCTGCACATCCCCACCATTGCCAAAAACTCCTGCCACTCCTCACCCAATGGCTGTCATCAGCACTCAGTGCTCACATCTCAGCCTGGCACAGGGAGGAAGAACATTTCTTTCTTTCCCTCTTAAAATGAAATAAAAATAAAGGCCCTAAAAAGCCTTCTGTCCTATTTTAAAATCCTAAAGTTGATCTTCCTAAGCCTCAAAGGGAAACAGAGTGAATGAGTAAGACCAAAGCCTTTAAGATAATTAATAACTTCCCCTCCCTACTGCTTCCTAAAAATATATCCATAGCCCATTTTTAATGCCGTCTTCCTTCACACCAACGTCCCCAGTAAAGCAGAGCAATCATCTCTATCTCAGGATCTACCCCTCCCGTTACTTTGAAGCTGGGAGAGTGAAGGATAGGGAGGGAGAGAAAAGGCCTTGGAGTCTGGTATCCGGGCAGCTTTCCTATAGGAAGGGCTGATGGGGGAAAGAGTATAGTCAGGCAAGAGATACAGATGGGATCTCACATAGGTGGTCTCCAAAAAGCCCCTTCCCTCTAACGCAGGAAGGAACACCTACCCCAGAAAGTGAACAAAACACTTGGCTTTGCCTTCAGAATAGAAAAAAAGCAGGTGGGCAGGAAACACAGAAATAGCCAGAAGGAGGAAAGCAGAGGTGGGTCTGTTTTATGCTAGAGAGACAATCTTTGTATGTGTGTGTGTGTGTGGGTGTGCTGAGGTGTTAGGGCACCTCTTGGTGCCATCTCTTTGGAAAAGTACTCAACCATCCCAGGAAAGATCCCTAGACTTCATCCCTTCCGCTCCCTCAGAACTGCTTGGTGTTTTCCTTTAGTAAGCATGCGCCATACATACGCTACCATACAGGTGTATTTACATGTGATGAGGTCTGCTAGGTCTCAGCAGAGGTCTCTGGTACAATGCTCCAGTACAACAACAGAAAGAGTTTTGGTGTTCAGTGAGGCCATCTTCGCATGGCACTGCAGCTCAGGACAGTCTCTCCTCCTCTCGAGCTTTCTTCCATTCGTGCACTCCTTTGCTTGGAACCGGCTGCTGCGAAGATTGAGTATTTGAAGAGCGATGTGAAGAAAGCGTAGCAAGTGGTACAAGTTCTCAGCTCCAGCTTAGCAGGTGGCAGCAGTGGTGGCAGGGGGAACTCCATCCCCAGGAGGGCCCCAAGGCTGGTCCTTGGCACAGGTGAGTCCGCTTCTCTCTGAGGCTGGCAAAGTTTTGAGGTGGGTACAAACCTATGTCCGGGTAAATGCAAGGCAGGGGAGAAGGTCGAGGAGTAGCAAACGGAAGACACAGTGCCTAGAAAGCAGCAGGTCATCAAGGCTCTCAGGAACAGGGCAACAAAGTGCTACAAGGGAACGGCGTGAGCACAGGAGGCCTCTGGGGCTGGCAGGGTGTGAGGATGTGTGAGCATGTAGGTTGGCAGTTTCTACAGATGGCTCCTCACAATTAGCATCACCTTGAGGAGAGGCAGGGCAAGAGTTAGGTCAGTTGGCTGTTTTTTTGCCTTTTTTTTTTCTTCTTTTCTTCTTCTTTTACTAAAAAATAAATCACAAACTAGATCTCTGTAGGCAGAAAGGGTCCCCGGGGGGCGGTGGGGAAGGGAAGCAGGGAAGTCTGTGCTGTTCTGGTGCTGGTGGTGTGGCTACACGAGGCTGCGCGAGCCACTGGAGTACCTGCGCCTCTGAAGCAGGGAGCCTGGGGGGCAATACTGGTGAGGGTGGTTGTAGGGAGGTGGTGGAGGTGGGAGGGGAGGCTGATGGACCAGCTTCATGGGGGTCCCTGGGAGCCCACTGCCCACAGCGTGCCAGGGGGTGGAAGTGCAGGAATCAGAGGTGACGTAGCGTGTCAGAGTCTGGTTGAGGGCCGGCTCCATCCGAGCGAGGCACGGCTTGTCCAGGACAATGACTTTGACAATCTGCTGGCACTGTACAAGTGTCCCCGCCGAGGCGGGGTGCGAGGGCACCAGTGCTGTCTCCAGCCGCTCCCGTGGCATGTTAAGACGCGTGCTGGGCTGCATTCCACTCTCGGGCCCCAGGGCGGAGTTGTGCTGGTACGTTTGAAGCCTGTTGTGAATTGACACCTAGTTTAGAAACAGCCAAAGAAGCATTAAATGTTACAAGACTTTTCCCATCTGCTGCTACTGGCTGCCCTGAGCCCCCACCACCAGTCGGCATCACGTGCATTAAACCCTCCCTCCAAAACCAAACCAGAACAGACACAACCCCCGGCTGCGCAGAACTCCCCAGTAGCCCCACCATCCCCATCTAGGCCTAAGTGCCCCTGTCCTTTCCATCGTGTCAAAGGCATCAGGGCCGGCGTTCCCAAAACCGGTGTAATTTTGATTATCCAAACAGTACAGGGAACACAAATCAACTCTAGGTCCATGAATTCTCATGGTAATGAACAGACCTTGGAGGTCGTGCCCTTGTCCCCACCAGCAAAAAGGAGAGGGGAACCAGACAGTGAGGGTTCAGATAATAAAGGTTGTGCGTTTCAGTAATGTGACAGTAGCTGAATCTGAGATAGGGGCAGACAGAGAGACTCAAGCCTTTCCCAGCTCCCTGCCTTTCTGAGTCAGAAGGTACACCACCTGACTGGCTAATCTGTTTGCAAAGGAAAAAGCAGGAACCTGACATTCTCTAGCAAACGGCAGTTCCCTCCGATCCATTTGATGGTTTGTCAGTGAAAGGAAATGATTTTCAAAAAAAATAAAAGGAAAAAGGAAAGGAAAAAATGCCCGTCTAGCTCATACAATGATAAAAGAAATTCATGATGAAATGGCAGCAGATTAGATAATCTCAAAGAAATGGAAATGCTCCTCTGCTGGCAGAGTATTGTTTGGGCAGCTGGAAGGGGGAAGGGAAGCAGGAGGTCATCAGGATCCTCACAGGCTGATAACCGAGTCACATGGGGGAGCTCACTGAGCCCAGTTGGAAAAGGAGGAGCTGGTCTGGACTAGAGGTCCCTAGAGGGGGAAGCACAGCAGGAAAATGGTGCTTCCCAAATGGTGGATGGAGTTATAGTTCCTCCTGGCAAGGATATGGGCTGATGGAAACCCTGAACCAGAGCAAAGTTGCCAGCTCCAAACAGAATGTCAGCCAAGTGACAAACCCTGGGTAGGAAACAAGTGCCTGCAGGTTTGCATGGCACTTCCAGTTAGGCAGGGGTACAGTGGACAGGCAGATGAGAGAGCAGGGGTGCCCTGCTGGTCTGGCATGTTGGGCAGCTATGCCAACAATGGGGAAGGAGAAGCTGTGGAGTGGCCAAGCTTCCCATGGAGGTTGCTCAGAGTCACTGGACAGCAGGACATAATATTGTGTTGATATTTATTCAGGTAGTGCAATATCCCATAGGAAAAACTGGTTGCTGGGCCACGATGTGCTACTGACATTAGGATACATGGAAACCATTCTCCACAAGGAAACACTCCTCCCAGCAGGAATAGGAAATCGGCTGGGAGAGACACCTTCCCCAGGAAGGGGGTGTCTTCAAGGAAATGGGGTGCACTTCAGGGAAAAGAAGCAGCACCAACTCCTCACAGAGAAGTTGAAATCTTCAAGTGAATATACTATGACCAGAGAGAAAAGAACTACCCTGGAAAAGGGCAAATTCAGGACAACGGTAATATTCCAGACAGGGAGAGAGTAGGAAGCAATAGACAAGATTTTCAGCTGTGAAGATCACATTTTCCTGTTTCCTCACAGGCAATGGAAGTACGGGTGTCTGTGAAGAAACCCCTAGACATCCCTGCGAAGGTAGAAGTACACTGGACAGCCAAGCTCCCTGCCTAGGAAGGTGAAGCTGTAGGGAAAGTCTCTGGTATACAAAGGCCATGCTTAATCCCCTTCAAGAGGGGATGGAAAGAGAGAGCTGCAGAGATTGTGCAGGAAAGCTGGGCTGCGGGGAATTTGCATGTGATGCTGCATGGAGTTAGCATGTCAGGGAAGTCTTTAGTGGGGTTCTCAGTCTCCCCAAAAGCAGTGGGGTAGGTTAGTCTACAGCGTTTGGGAGCTTGGTCCATGAGGGATGTTACAGTTATAAAAACGGATTGAAAATGCTTTGAAGTTTAGTTTGGATTTGAAAGTTGTATTACCCGTCCTAGCAGTAACTTTTAATTGTATCTCTGGAAATTGGTAAAATTGTCAGTCTGGCTGGGGAGGCATTGATTAAAACCTGAGAAAAGAAACAACAGAGAATGTGAGAAGAGCTGAAGTGAGAGAGAATTACTTACCTCAGCTGCTCTGCACTCTACTTACCTCCACTGTGCTGTCCGAGACCTTCTCTCCCAAATCCTTCTTGCCTTTGAAAGAAAACAACAAATCTCACTCATGAGGTCCGTACTGGCCCTCATACTGTGCACTGGAAAGCTAAAAGTAGAGGTGCATAGCCAAAACAAGGCTCTTGACTGCATAAACAAATCCAGACCCTGATAGCTGCTGATAGTGGGGTCAGAGGAGGCCCCTTCTGGATTCTATCCTTAGGTCCTGATCTCAGTGCCATCCCAGTGAGTTGGTAGCCACTTGCCTCTGCACTTGCTTTTTGCTGGCATAAAAGCCAGGGCACAAACAGACACAAAGCTTGTGATAGAAAGAGGCTGGTCCAAAGTGCTGGTATAGAGGCTGGAAGAAGTCAATAATGCAGTTACTGTGTTGCATCAGTTCAGGGAAGAAAAAGCGGCCCAGGTTCTTCAGCAGTTACCTATGCTCCATCAGTAAAGCCTCTTCACTAGATGCTACAGCTACAGTCTGGGTAATGAGGCTTTAATGGCTTTTCTAGGGTATTTGAAGAATGCACATATTTCCACTATTTCTCATATTTCCACTATTTGCCCAAGGCTAAAGGATACAAAGCTGAAATTTCTTTTTGCAGTTATTCTCACAGGAATCAATGAAAACACATTTGCAAAGGCACCACTGCTTAACCATGAGAAGCTGGGTGTCCTCTTACCTGTTGGTGAGCCTTGCTTAGACTGCAATTCCATCTGGGCTCCATTGGTCCTTAACGAGAGAGTCTTTGCCCCTTGCTGTTTCTCCAGCTCCCCTGTAAGACAAATATACAAAAGCTTACAAGGAGAAGAATGGAGAGGACACTAGCATATTGAAAGGGCAATATGGGAAGTCAGTAAGGAGAATTAATGCAAGAATATTACAAGAGTGTCAAGAAGGGAAGGAGAGAGGAACAGCCAAGAAAAAAACCAAACTGGAGAGGACTTGACATGTGGAGGAGCTTACATATCCACACAACCCTCTATGTATGACCTGCATTTATAATGAGTAGGTTGCACAGATGAGACCACTGATGCTGAGCTACTTTGACTCACCAGTTTATTCATGGAAAGGCCATTGAAGGCTACATGAATATCTGATCTGTGTAGGCCAGACCACAGACAGACACAGTACGGACTGCATGTCCCCTAGACATTCCTGGACTGAAGGACAACTCTGCTAAGGCTACCAGACCTGTCTCATACTTTTCAGCTAGCTAGTGACCATATTTGCATAGTCAAAGGAGTATGGAATGGAGAAGAGTCTTCTGGGTCTGAAAGATTCACTATTCCAAGCCACTGCATCATTCACCCTGTTTCATAAACATCCTAAATAGTTGTTCCATTTCTCCTGCTGGTGGGTGGTCACAAAGCCTGACTGCTTTTTCACATTGATGAACACAAGTCCTGTGCAGACTTGTGCTACTCATCCTCTTTCCCTGTGTTCCTGAAGAACGCATTTCCTTTACCCTTTCTCCCTTGTAGACACATGCAGTGTGATGGCACTGGAGTGTGTTACAGGCCCTTACATTCAATTCTTATCTGCTCCAGCTCTGTCACTTCTGCTATCGACTCTTTGAGGTCTTCCACAAACTTCTGCATTTCCTCAGCACCCAGAGCACAGAAGTGTAGTACCTGTTTCTTCTCTGAGCCTGAAACTGGAGTCACCAGTGTGATGCCATGGGGGTAATCTGTAAAAAAAGGTGTGTCAGAAAAATTAAGTGGTGTTAGGCATTCCTGCTGGAGTATTTGATTGCTTTGGTACCTCTGCAAGACAGAGTTTCCAACATGAGTCCAAGGGAATGGCACACCTAGGAGTTCGTCCCACTGCAGACTTAGAGCTTGCAGCATTGCAGCCTTCCAAGGGAACAGAATAGCCAGCTTGCAGCAACAAGGCAAGTGTCACCAGCACCACAGAACTGCCCAAACCAGCTCTTAGTTACACTTATGCAACACTGGCTCTAGGAACCTGAGCACAGAATTAGCACTGTAAAGCCCTTCTAAATCTGTGGAGGAGTAAAGAGTACATATTGGAGGCCAACAACACTTCTCCTGTGGGAGATGCAGCAGGAGAAGTTGGCTCCTGGAGTCATAGCCAGAACATCCTTTAACATCCACTAACATCCACAGACGCAGGACTTCTCCCCTGTCTCTGCTTCCATCATCAGAGAACATGTCAGGGGTGTTAGCACAGCATGGGTGGGGAACTCATTGTGCTATGCAGAGAGAACGCTAAAGATGTGGGTTTGTAGGCCTCCGCTTAGCACTCTCCAACATGCAAAACATGTGGGAATGTAAAGGAAAGGATATGCCCAGAGAGTGAAACATCAAAGAAAAAGGCCTTGTGTTTAAAAGACCAGGTTGGGTGCAGGGAGGTGGTGGCTGGAGATTCAGCCAACAGAAGCAGGAGAACAAGAGCATGCAGAGAACTTGCTACACTTGTGACTGGACTTCCTCTATCTTTTGCTCAATGGCCAGTGGTTTCAATCCATTTTCTCCTTCCCTTTCACCTTTCTCCACATGTAATTTCTTTCTTCCCCTATCCTGCTTTCTCTCCTCCTCCACTGCCTAACTTCCACATGCTCTTCCTTTATCAGTCTTTACCACACCAGGCACAGGACCAACCTGCTATTTGCTGACAGCCCTCAGCTCCCCTGGTTTGTGTCTGAGGACCCTTTTCCCACCCTGTGTCTCTTCGACCTGTGACAAGCTCTTTGGGACATCTGCTTTCCTGTCCCTGCAGGGGATACATGACAGGATGCCTTTGCCAGAAGATCCTTGGGCATTCCCAGGATAGTCATAATACCCCTGAAACCCGATCCCTGCTGTGGTGGTGCCCAGGGATGCTCAGTTATAAATGACTCTTGTACATACAGGGATGTGAGAGACCCTGCATGCTGCAGAGGATATGGTGCTGAGAGAACAACTCATGCTGCCAATAAGGCAGAGGGAAGATGTAAAACGCTTGGTATAGCCACAGAGCTGCTACAGTCTTCCTTCCTTGCTGCATGTTCTACAGCTCCTCACGAACTCCCCAGCCCCTCTGCCTGCACCAGCAGGAAACCTGTCTGTTTCTGGAACTCCTCCACCACACAACTAGCTTCAATCATGACACATCATGGCTCTATTCCCAGTCCATCAAGGTCAGGCTGACTAGGGCTGGCCTCTCGCCATGCTTTGGTGGGTGCTGTTCCAAGGACTCTGCTTCTGTCTTGGTAAGCTTTCAGCACAGCACAGCATGGCACAGTGCAGGGAGGAAACAGCAGCACCTGAGCCTTTATCAATGTCAAACGTAGAGGTGGGAGTTGTGACTTTGGGCATGAGGGGAGAGGGGATAAAGTTGGAAGCAGCAGTTTTGTCAGTGAGGATCTCCATCTACAGTTGGCTCCTAAGAGCTCACCGAGATGTATCTGGAGACTGATTCCTTCATTCCTTCCCACTAGTGCTCTCCCTGCCACCATGACAGACAGGTCTTTCAATAAGCTTTAATTCATCCCTTCTGCAGGAGCTCAGACCTATTGAGAGTTAGCAGGAGGCTCTTCTCATCACACTGTACCTGCACAGTCATCTCTTCAGCACCAAGCCTCAGTTTTCTCCCCTCCACTTTTAACCCTGATAGAATCTCTCTTCTGATGCAAACTCACACTGGCTGACACAACCCCCTCCCTCCTACTCCTTTTCCCTGCCAAACCCCCTCAGGCAACCCATGAGCAATGGACTTACATTCATTCTCAAAGAGATGGAACTGCATCCCCAGCAGGCCAACCGACTTGCAAAATGTGTACGTTGAGGAGCTTTTCTTCTTGGGGCAAAGCTTGAGGATCTGTTGGAGGGAGAGATGCATCACTGGGCAGGGTACTGGTGAACAGTGAGGCAAGAACAATGCAACCTGCTCGAAGTAAGAAAGCTTTCTGCAAGCTCTGTTAATTCTGCATAGGAGTAACACTGGATGAGTGACAGGCTCGTTGCCCAGAAAGCTGCCTGGCATACTGCACTTGTAATAACACTTCTGAAATTCGGCATGCATAGATAGCCCTGGGGCCCACGCAGCTCCCTGTCTCCCAGAGGGGCTGGCTTTCTGATGCCCACATTTCTGACTTTGCAAGGGTAATTCTCTTCACCGAGGGCCAGATCAAAAGGCGAAAGGAAGCCTGTCAGAAATACCTTAGAGCTGGGAACAAGAGCGTATGTGAATGCTGCGTTGCCCTCATTCCCTCAGCACGAGCTCTTACGGACCTGATTTATCAGATAGCAAGGAGCAGACCCTCTCCCCAGCTTCACAACTCTACAAACCAATGCAAAGGAATAGGTGGGGAAGTTCTCTTGTCCTCTACCCCTATAAAAGGGTTTGGGGTTAGCCTTACGTTTGCAACATCTACAGTTTCATTTTGCCATTAAATTCAGTGGAACTCCCATCTTGTTTGGCCTCCTCCCAGTCTCAGTGTAACTCTGCCCTCCCTTTTTATCTGTCTGAACTCAGCTGCAAGGTTTAAAAGTACTGTACACATTTGGGGCTCCAGTAAGTAATATCTAGTTCCTACAGTCTTTGCAATGTTAGAAGGCAGTGGTTTTAAAGTGTTTGGCAGGGAAGTTTTAAAGTGCATGGGAGGGCTCTGTCTACTATGGTACAAACAGAGATAGAAATCAAATGAATCTTCCTGCTGGCAAGGCATGAGAGAGAGCAGTGGCATTGCTGGGATGGCTGTGGGATGTGACAGTTTGTTTTTAAAGGGTTAGAAGAGGTTTAGATTTAGTAGGTTTTTAACAGTGAAGGATCCAGAGCTGTGTCTTACAGTATCAACGGACCAGGAGATGGTCTGCCCTTAGGACAGAGGGCAAATGGATGTTGTGGACTGCTTCTAGGCTTCTTTATAGAAACGAGGGGGAGTTTTAGCACTGCAGTGCCTAAAAGCCACTCACCACCAGCAGGTCATTGAAGAGAAAAACTTCCCTCTGGTGAGCTGCCTGCTTCTGCACTTTGTTCACATCAGTCACTTCGTATAAGCGGCTGCAGCAGACCAGGCGTCGATGGGGCACAGACAGAACCTGCAGAAGACCCACAGGAGTATGCAGAGGCTGAGGGAGGTGCCACCGTGGGTCTCCCCTACCTTCGTTTGGTGCAACCCTGCTCAGTGACAGCAGCACAAGCCAATTCTGCCCACTCTCACCACCACTCCTCACCATCACTTTTCCTGCTGGTGCAGTAGCAGAGAGCAGATCACCTTTGTGATCTGGAAAAATCTGAGGAGTGGGACAGGCTACAGGCAATCCCTCTTGCTCACACATCCTATCTTCCTATACTTGAGGCTTCCAATCAGTAGGTGACTGCTCAACCTCTCAATCCACTGGACATCTGAAGGTTTCATGGGCTTTGAGAAATTATTCTGCTCCTTTGGGGTGAACAGTATGTGTGTTTTTGCATTACACCTCAGTTGCTGTTAAAGGAGCTGTCTCTGCATTTGAGGGTCTCTTAACTCCAGCATCCTTAGGAAACTCTTTAGAGACAGATGGGTGAAATTGTTTTCTATCACTTTGCCTTCCTCTTCCTACACCCTCACAAGGTCTGAAAGTTTGAAACACTGCAGAGCTGTCACTGGAGCATTGGCAGGCAGGACCTGCATTGGCAGGCAGGACCTGCAGTGTGATTCTTGGGCAAACAGTTACTGCACCAGATACTATAAACTGTGGCTGAGAAGTTCCCCCCAAATTAGGAAAGAAAGAGACAGAAAGGAAGAAAGTGTTTGGAGAAAAAGGAGTGAATCCATCAAGACAAGCATTGAAAGCATTACAGAAGAAGAGTAGGGGCATAGAGGAAAAAGGCAGGAAAAAGGGCACAAAGGGAGGCAGGGTGAGAAGGGTGAGTGTGTGCCAGCAAGGTTGTAGGTGGCTCACCGTTTTCATTCCAACTATGGACTTCTCCACTTTGGTGACATAAGTCACATGGTCCTCATTGGATTTTAGCTCTTTCTGCTGGATCCTCTCATAGATCCCCACCACCAGCTCCCGTGGGATGTCAGCACCATCGTCCACCCCTGCCGAACACAGAAATCGTTGTGCAGGCTAGGCAGGGAGAAAAGGGAAGGGAAGAACTGGTGGTCCCTGACAGGCAGCTACTGCCTCTGCACTGTGTAGTGCTGTGAAGGCTGAAGGGAAAGAGGAATACTTCACTTTAGGCTGTCTTCTTTCTTGTTCTAACACACCTAATGCACCAGAAGGAGTGACTGACGTCTCTAAGGCCAATGCAGAAGATTTCATTATTCCTCTGCTCTGCATGGTGGCTCCTTTCCATGCGTTCCCTAAGGTTTTATAGCCACAATTTCACATTCATATATCTTGGGCCACTTAGCAGCAACCTCTGCATTGATTTCGTATCATCAGAAGTGCTAGATGTGGAGGAGATCTATGATGGGATTCAGCTGCTCCTCCTGCCAATGCAAGCATCAGCTCTGCTGTTTGCTTGGTGGCCTTCACTGTCCTTCTGTGATGTCTCCTAGGAGTAATATACTTTTCAGTTACGCTGTCTGTGATATCTCTCTCTTGGCCTCGTCCTTTCCTCTTTTATATCTCCTTAGACAGTTCTCTAGATTTTGCTGTCTGATGCTTGCAGAGCCTGACAGAAAAGTTTTCTTTCACCTTTCCCTGAGCCAAACACCACAAATTGAACTGCCAGGCTTTCCTCTGAACTCCATTCCTCCACTCATTTTACAACCATTTTATCTGCTTTCCCTCCAGCTCTCTGGTTTGAGGTGTACTACCCTGAGTGATACAGGTGAGGAACTGCTGAGGAATGGAGAGGCATTATCATCTCCTGGCTCCCTCATCCATGTCCTTGCAAATGTAACCCGAATATTCTGTCTGTTTCCAACCACAGGCTGGTGAAGCTACTGACCTGGTATTGGCCTGCACCTGAGTGTGGAATGATCTGTCTCCCTTTGTCTGCAATGGAGTAACATTCACTCTCTCTAGTGAGTTGTGGTGCACTCTGGCTGAATTTATTGTGATGTGAACTGGCAGATTTTCAAGTAACTCTAAGTTAATGTAAAATACCTCTTTTCAGTTAGTGCTATCAGCTGTAATAACAAAGGGGAGGGGATGATGTCAGGTATCAGCCCTATTCAGTATTTCAGGAAATAACTTGAAAAGGGGCCTCATTATACTAATATGAAGTGGATGACAAATTGGGGAAGGCGTGGGAGGCTGAGGCAACACGCTCTGAACAGCAGTCAGGACAAGGAACCAAGTCAAAGGAGGACAAAGAACCAGCTCAAAGGAACCCACAGAAGTTCAAAATCTAGGCAGCAATTTATACTGGTAAAACTTGAGGGAGTTGCAGATGTGCAGGAAGAGACACTTGGAAGATGACTGACCTGGGATTGAACATGGCTGGGGAATCAGACAATGGTTTGTCTAGACATGATGTAAAAAAGGCCAAACAATACTAAGCTGCATTAGCAGATCTGAAAATAAGGAGGAGGCAGTGGCTCTATATATGAGTATGTTGTGACCACATCTGAAAAAGTGCTTTTAGAAACCTATTACCAGGATGGAAAGGACTGACCTTGAAAACCAGAAGAAAATTGATTTGGGGAACTGATGTATCAGAAATTGCAAAGAGGTAATGTATGCTTGAACTCTGTCATGCCTACAGTTACTATAAGTAATTGCAAGCAATTAAGAAGGGAAAATTTAGCCTGAATAGAAGGAAAATGTGTTTATGTATTCAAAGCTGCAAGGAGAGGAACGGCTTGTTTAGCACAATCCAGCAGGGTCTAAGAAGGATGGATCTGAACAATAGGAAAATGTAATACAATGGACTGCTTCCAAGCAGTGAGATCTATTAAAAGATGAAACCATCTCTCAAGGAAAATGGCTGGTTTCTGATAAGACTGGACAGCTTTCTGCAGAAAACAAATCTTACATTTTCCTCTTGCCCAGCATTCCACAAGACACCTCAAAGGGCCCTCCATGTCTGGCTCACAGGGAGCAGCAGCAGCCCTAGAGAAAGGCAGCTCCACTTTAGTTTTGCTGCCTTCACATAGGCAGAGTTTACAGCAGCAAGAGGGCAAAAAAAACAAAGCAGGACTCTCACCTCTAAGATTGCGAATGAAGTCCTCCAGCATCATCTTCCTGTCAGGCTTGATGTTGGGGCTGTACATGTCCGTATTGAGGAGGATGATTGCAAAAGCCAAGATGAAGATGGTGTCCGGGTTGTGAAACTGCTGGACCACATCTGGGTTACACATGCAGTACCTCTGGCTGCAGCAGGACGGATGCACACACTTAACATGGAACATGGGAGTCCTCTGCTCCAGGGTGGCAACAGCTTCATCGCAAGTGGATCAAGCTGCTTTCATTCCACCTCTCACACAACTGAGAAGGAACTAACTGCTCTCCCAAGGCAAATTTACCCACGATGGCTGAAGTAGGCCACTGAAACTTCAGCCTTCTTGTTCTCAGGAACCAGAAAAGCAAGTGAGACTAGAGAGGACTGGTATCACTATGTAAGGGAAATATAGGAGCTGTCTACTCCAGCCTGCCTTGCTAAGGGCAAAGCACTCCTTTGGATGTGCCAAGGGAGCAGCATAGCACCTCTGCAACCCCCAGTACTGCTCTACCTGCGAGTTGCCAATGAACAAGGACTCCCTTGCTGGCAGACATGTCAGGACTGGCCTCACTTCAGCCCTTTGTGCCCTTTATACCATGGAACACCTGGCAAGGACATGGCTCTGCTGCAGCACTGGCACAGAGGACTCCTTGCTTCAGAAGCTCCTCTGCAATCACCTTCTTTGGAAGGGAGGCTCCTGGCCATTCACTCCGTGGCTGCTGCATGCTTTCTGCTTTGGGTGTGTTCTCTGCTTTCACCCAGTTGCAGCAGTGGGGCTGCAGGGCTCATTTGCTTGATTCTTACCTGAAAGCCTCAATGAGCCGCTCCACCTTCTGCGCCTCCCCCTGCACACGGATATGGGCCTGGAATTTCCGCAGGGCTTCATCCAGCTCCATGCCTGAGAAGTCCATCTCATCCACCACACAGCTGTAGGAGAGGAATGCAGCCTTCATCAGCACCTTCTCCCACAGAGGATGCAAGGCAGGTTTGCTCACTGCACTACCAAGGCTCAGTTCCCAAGGGAAATACCATGGGAAAGGCCCTGAGCCACCACTACACTGCCCAGGTCACACTTATAACGGGTAGTAATTTCAGACAAGTGATTCCAGCATTCTAGAACAGGCAAGCAGTTCTTGTATCTAAATATATATAGATATATATATGCATGTATGTGTATATATACCATGATATATACATATATCATAGCATGCACAGGATATATATTTATATATACAAAGTATATATATGTATGTATTGATAATTATCTGTATAGATACAGATATTTAGACATCTATATTGATACCAATATCAACCCAGATTTAGATCATCTATTTTTGCCTTTCTTATCATCTGGTAATTCTTCACACGTTGTCCATTCCTCCCTTCCACTCAGCATATGCACTTATTCACTACTTGCTTATCCGTTCTTCTCTTATCTCTACTCACTGGGCTGTTCCTGCACTTGTCCTCATCTTCCATTCTGTCCAGTATACATCCCCATTTGCAGCCCATACCTTCATAGCACTCTTCACTCCCACTCAACCACTGCAGCAACAGCATTCATTATATCTTTAAAGACCAGAGCCAGCTCAGAGAAAATAGGTAATGGAAGCTGTTGTACAGAAATAACATTGCAACATCTGCTGGCTTGAAATATCAAGGCTGGGTAAATCTCTACCCATGCAGTCAAACACCAGGAGTCCCCTACCAATTAATTCTGTATAATCCCCTATTCATTTACACATTTATACCCATTCCACACTATCTTTTTAATTTCCACCATACTTCAGTGCCACGCTTCCCTGTTATCTGCTAGAGATCCTTCATCTCATACATCTGGTATCATCACCTTTCCTTTCATGGTGATGCATTGCACACTGGTAATTCACAGCCAATTTAGATACCCAAAGAAGGGATGCCACCTCTCTTGTTTCCCACCTAAGCATTCTCAGCTTATAGAAGTCCTACCATTAGTCTCCAAACCTACCACTACAGTTCTTGCTCTCTCTATTAGTCAAGTAATCTAGTTCTTATTGTAACTGCCTGAAATTTTAGTCATTTGTAATGACAGCACCTTCCCCATGTGGCTTCAGCACATTTTGTTAACATATTCCTACTTTTGTGTCCAGGTCATTACTGCAATCATTAATCAAAAGCCTAGACTCAGAAAACTCTGCTCATAGCCTCCCTTAGGCCCAGCTTCGCATTGCAGCAGAGTATGTAGGCACTAATGTCTGCATCAGGCAATTCTCTCCCCTGTTTACGATTCCTCTGCTAATTTCTATCCCTTCCACTCTCAACTAACAATTTCTCACGTCAGATGCTTTGGCGAAGTCTAGAATTACCTTCTGCATGTCCCTTGTCTAGAAAACCAGTTATTATTGTCTTAACAAAGACACTGAATTAATCTACTCTCCACTTGCTTTGGTATGTACCATTTACCTTCCTGTCTGCCATTATTCTTTCCCATAAAGAAATTCTCAAAGCTGACATTCTGTCAGACCAAGAAATTAACAGGTGCCAAAATCCCAATTTTTTTAAGCCTTCCTTAAATGCAAAGTTACTAATTTTCTCATCTTCAATCATATGGCACCACCTTGACATTACAAGTGTGTTAAAAATTCAAGGACTTCATATTTTCTGCTTCTATATACCTTGGATACTAATGCTATTCCTCCCACCCACCCTCCCCCTGCCTTTATATCATCCTCTGTATTGTCTTTGGTTTGTTTTCTCATGTTGTAAAAGATAAACTGACCCCAAATTAGAGGTTAGGAGGAATTTTTCCCTAATACAGGTTGCCTGGGACTGTATGAGGAGTGGTACATGGAAAACAGAGGAGGAGGGGATTAGTTCTATTCTGGATCTTTCTATTTCCTAGAACTACCTGGAAATTTTCCCAAGCAACCCACTGCTAATCAAGGGATGTGCTGTCATCAGTTTTTCCTTCTTCCTTTCTGTGATAAACTGGGGACGTGTCTGTTGGTCTTTCCTAGAGTGCTGCAGTTTGCTGCAGGCTGTTGGGAAGTACTTTGTGAGCTAGGATGTGTCATGTGCACCCTTGCTAGAATGAAAATCTGATGCATGGTGTCTCAACTGTGTGAGGGACAGGGTTCAAATGCTCAGGGACATCTCTCCATTCCCTCATTGATCAAGAGTTCAAATATCCTTGCTTAACTGAAGTGACACCCACAGAATAACTTAGCAAGAGCTCTGGCTGAACAGAGTCTTCAGTATCTCCTAAGTCTGGAGTCATTACAACTTCAGCTAGGAAACACGGACTCTGTCCCTCCACAAACTCCATGTAATCAAAATGAGGGAACAACTCCTGAGGAGCCAGGGTGGAGAATCAATGGGGCTGCTCTCATAGGAAATCTTACATGAAATCTTCCTCTCCAGGAGGCGGACTGCAAAAACCCTCACAAATGGTTTCTGGCAACAGCAAAAACTTCCCCCCCACCTCCTTCCTTTGTTATTTTTATTTTCTCACTCTTATACTCACATGTCCCTTGGGTTGACATCAAGGCTTCCTGCTTCTTGGAATTTATCTTGGATAGTAAGAAAAGTTTTTCTCTGGTTAGTCATTACTGTGTTCACAGCTGCAACCACCGCTGCAGTTGGACTTCTGTTATTACTTTTTAATACTTGCCAATGTGTGATGTTTCTCAGCATTGACCCCAGTGATTTTGCTGTTATTGTCTGCTTCTAGACATGTGAAAACAGAGTCCTTGCACACACCAGTGAGACCTGCTGAGGTTCCCCTAAGTAACCCCAATCCACCAGCATTAAATTGTGTATATTTCCCTCCCTCCCTCACTGATCAATCCTTCCCGCTCCGTGCAGGCTGCTCTAACACATCCTTCCCTTTGTGTACAGAGCTCAAATAATAAAGTCAATGCCCCTGATACAGAAAGCATCGAGCCTTTATTAGGACAAGTAGGACAAGGCAGCTGCTTATAGCTCTTTCCAAAGTTCAACAGAGTTACAAGCTTCTCTTTGAGAGTTTCTTTCATGGACTGACAGATGCTGATTCGCTTTGTAAATTGGAAGATGAAACCCTGGGAGTCCCTTTCATCTGAAGGAATGGAATCCAAAGAGTGATGCCCCCTGTCCTGCTTTCTGAGAAAAGCTGACCAGGCAGGAAGGGCACATTAGGAAGAAAGTCTGACTCGAGAACGTCAGCATGGGCTTGCATTTGATTTATTTGCTTGCATTTGACACAGCCTGTTCTTTGTCAACAGCTCCTAGAGGAACTACCAGGTATGCTGCTACTCTCTGCTGCTAGACAGAAAGAATGGTGGATCACAGCTGCCTGATATTTTTTGTGAGTAAATTTGACACAGCAAAGAGCACTGGAAGTGCCAAAGAGCCTTGTGCCAAGGGGCTGCCATGTTTCTGCTCCTCTTCTAGGTGGCTACAAGTTTTGCTGCCTTGCCAGACCTCAGATTCCTGTACAGACTCCCATTAACATTCCGAATGTACTGTGGTGCCTATACCAGAGCTCCCCTGAAATGCAGTGCAACTTTCTGAAAACAGAGCAAGGAGTTCTTTTCCTTCCAAGCTAGAGAACCTGGAAGCTGACACAGTATAGCTTGGCAAGCATACTGCAAAAAGTACATCGATCCTGTCAGCCTCCCAAGCTGCAATGTAAAAGGCAATGTAACCATGTGCACAAGGGCAGGTTGCTCCCCAGAACTGGATTTGCCAATGTACAAGACGAAGGTTGAGCTGACAGAGGCTGGCTCTCTGCATCCAAGCAATAACTCAGCAGCTTATGTGCATGTGCCAAAACCAGTGCCGAGTTCATTTCTGCACAAACAGCAGAACACCTCTATTCCAGGACCACCAGGAAGCCTGAAGGATAATAAAGCAGGGGCAAAGTAATCACCGTATGAAATCTCCTCCTGTTTCAACTCCTTCCTCCCCACAGACTTGCAATAAGACACACAAATTGAACTCACACTGCATCCAGAGATGCATTTAGACCACTACCCGCAGGACTAGGACTTCAGATGTTTGCGTTATGTAGCTACAGTGAGCTGGAAAAGTGCTGACATCCTGCCCCATAAACAAGGTGGTGGATGGAGTTTGAGGGCTCTTTTGCCACCTGTATACATGGGAAGTTTTGGTTGTCCTAAGGCACTTGGCAGGCAGACATCTCACAGCTGCAAAGAATTGCATGCCACGTGCCAGGACCAAAGTGAGGTCCTAGTTGGATCATTATTTTCAGCTATTACCTCAGAGGTGGCCAGGATGCCTCCTAGCGTGCAGTGCATAGAACCCTCAAAGTGGGGTGGATATAGTGGCATCCTATCCGTGAGGATTTAGCACAGGGCTAAGCATGGCATTGAGAGGGTTCAGTGAAGGCAGGAAGCAGCTGTATCATGTGGGGCTGGGATCTACTTGCTGAAGTGTAATGACCTATTTTCCAGCTTTTCCACTCAGGTGACAACGAAGCAGGAGCAGGGCTGCTACTAAAAGTGTCTGTAATGAACCTGCAGCCCACGCTGAGGGAGGGAGCAAGGGGGGAGGCAGCCAGGTGGAAAGTTTAAAACTACAAGGCACAAAGACACTAATAAAAAACATCTCTCTTCTCAGCTTCCCTAATCCTGCGAGCATTCTGCACAATGAACCATGCTTAGGGTAGACTGCAGAAGAATTGCTCCCTTGGAGGAGGCTGCCCTGCACGTGTTAACTGAGGCTCACAGAAAGAAAAGTGAGCAGGACTCACTGATTCTTTGCACCAGCAGGCATGGGTGTGTGTCTTAATCCTGCCCTTCCCGTGTAAGGGTAGTCTACGCAAGGGAGACCATGGCCCTCACCAGTCTTCTCTATCTGGGGGTGCTGCACTACATGTATTGCGTGTTTTCTTCTGGGCTAAGTCATGTCACCTTGCCCTCCCAGGGTTGTTGATAGTTCACATTGCT